TTACTTGTTTGCTGAAGAGACAAATTATCCAGGAATCAGGTCAGAATTTCTACAAGGTGGGAGGCATCTTGAGGACCGCAATGTGACATGTTTGGATTATGATTCTGTGGAGTGTTTAGAAATATTTCTCTACAATTAAAAGGTGCTATATAAAAGCAAGCCATTGTTGTATATAAACACAAATTGGAAATGCTTGCAGATAAATACAGAGAAAATGTATAAATTGTTTTAAAAGGCAGGAAAAGCTTTCATTTTATGTTATAGAATACAAAGAAAATATTAGTTTTTTAAATTTATTAATCCACTGAGTCAGTGGGGAGTTATGAGTGGGGAAGGCGGTGTTTGTTTGCATGTGTTTTTGCCTTTTCACCCCATTTGCCCTGTGGAATTAATTCTTGCTCCACTACTGGGAAAGGAGCTAGGAGATGACCCTCAGAAATCCTGCAACCCAGTGAAAGCGCTAGTGTGACATCACAAATGAAGCGATTGGTAGGGAAGTATTTCTCTTCTCTTCTACCCTTCACTATTTGATAATACTTTTTTATTGTATTTTCACTGCATTTTTGTAAGCTTTTTGCATATAGTGTCTACCGAGTTAAGAGTTTACGTCTTTCTTTCCAGTAGACTTGAACAGAAGATTCTTTAAATTTAAATGAATGCGTGTGGAGAGCCCCAGCCAATGTGCTGCACTGTATGGTACACATGGGAATTCCTAGATACTCCTGGCAGTCTGGATAACCACATCTGTAGGATTTTCCACTAGTTTGAACAGCTTCTGTGCCAAGTCTTAGAATCTGTGCATTGGCTGGAGGCACAGAGGTGCGTCCACAAAGCTGCACATTTTCTGAGATGGTCACTTTGTAGACTAAAGGAGCCAAAGGTAAAGAAGACATGGGTGGCCACCAGGCAGACAGGAAACCTTCAGAGGGTATCCCACTCGATAACTATTTTCTGTGTTGGAGAACAATGACAGTGAGGAGTGCAAACAGGTATTTCTGTGGACACAGACAGAGGTCCAGGATGGTATTGCCTCCCCATGGCCAGGGATGTCACCGAAAGGCTGCAGGGGGAAGGTGAAAAGTCAGAGATCGTGGTATGCATTGGTTCCAACAATATAGGTAGAATGAGGGATGAAGCCTTGCACTAATAATTCACCAGTAGATTAAAAACAGGACCTCTACTATTGCAATCTCTGGATTACTCCCAGTGCCACATGCTAGCGAGTACAGAATAGGAAAATACAGCGTAGCTCAATTGTGCTTGCAGGAGAGGGAGTGGATCACCAGGACCATTTCTGGGAAGGTAGGACCTATACAAGCAGGATGATCTACACATGAACCAGAATGGGACCAACATCCTTTTGGGTATGTTTGCTAGTGCTGTTAGGAGAATTTTAATAGTTGGTAAGGGAAAAGGGACACAGAACATTAGTACAAATGAAACACAGCATAATAAAGGAAACGGGACACAACAGTTCAGTCATGTTGAGATTCAAGGTAGTAAGGAGAAGCTGGATGGCCTCTACGCTAATGCCAAAATTATTACAGGTAAGACAGATGAGCTAACTGAAACACGGTGTGGATTGAAAGATGGCACTGTGACACTGTTGGTTGAGGGAGGGCAGGACTGGCAGCTCATTATTCAGTGGCATAGGATCTTCACATGACACAGGAAAGGGTGTAAGAGAGGTGTTGTTACATTATTAATTGAGGAGTTAGTTACTGCAGTTAGGAGTGATGATATCTTGTAAGAGTCTTCAAATGAGATGTTGAGAAAAGATCTTAGGAATAAAAAGGGGACAGTCACATTGCTGGGAGCATATTATAAGCCCCTAAACAGTTAGCAGTAACAGAAGAGCATTTCACTAGGTTGTACTATAAAGCAATTTTAAAAATGATAATAATGATAACAATTATAATAGACAGTGGTGATAACAGCGATAGTAGTCATGATGATAAGATAGTTATATTAAGAGATTTCAACTTCCCCAACATTACTTGGGATAGTTATAGAGTAAGGGTTTAGACAGGGCAGATTTCTTGAAATGCATTCAGGAAGATTTTTGCGTCGATATGTAGAATGTCCAACATGGACAGTGCAGTGCTGGACCGAACTCTGGGGAATGAAACAGAACATTGGGAGAGTATTTTAGTGATTGTGACCATAACACAATACATTTTAAGTCGTTATGGAAAAGGAAAAAGATGGTCTGCAAAAAAAATTGGATTGGGGAAGGCACATTTTATTAAAATAAGTGAGGATCTGGCCAAAGTAGATTTGGAGCAGCTACTTCCGGGAAAATCTGCAAGAGAACAGTGAGGTGTGGGTGTGTGGGGTTTTAAAAAAGAAATGGGGAGAGTATAGGCCTAATATGTTCCTTTTAAGATAAAACATAGCAGCAGCAAGCTGTGAGAACCCTAGATATCTATATCTATATCTTCAGGATGGGTGCAGGTGTGAAGGGATGATAAAGAATGGTCAAGTGGTTAACAGTGAGGAACGTGGTCTTAGGTTACAGGGAGAGACAGATGCGATCGTCAGATGAGCAGATCAGTGATAGATGAAATGTAACCCTTAAAAATGACAGATGATGCACTTTGGAAGAAGTGGCAAGATAAAGGATTACTCAATGAACAGCAGGACACTAGGGAGCTTGAAAGAAGTGGGACTTTATGGTGCTTGTCCGCAGATCCCCAAAGTCAGCAAGACAGATAAGGCCACTAAAGAAGCAAACGGGACATGACTTTACTAGTTGTGGCATAGGTAATGCAAGAGCAAGGACATCATCATGTTGGAGGAGCACAAAACCTTGGTTAGACTACAGCTGGAATACTGTGCACAGTTCTGGTTGCCATACAATAGGAAGAATGTGATTGCACTGGAGAGGGTGCAGAGGAGATTGACCTAGAATGATGCTTGGGTTGGAGTATTTTAGCTATGAAGAGAGGCTGTATCTGCTTGGGTTTCTTTTTTTAATCCTTCAAGCTGGGGCGGGGGAGGGGGATGTCTG